ATGTAAAATATTAATTTAATATGGTTGGTGATTAATAATTGATAATAATTTTATGGTTATAACTAATCACATTAATTATATATCACATGTGTCTCAATTATAAAAAGTGTCAAAATATGTTAGGAGTGTTTTTAACATTTATCTTCTCATCATATCCATATTGTACATGACTTCACACTAATATATAAATCAAAATATTATGATTATAATATTATGAAATTTTATAAATTTGTAATATAATATATTATTATATAATAAATTTTTTTATTTAAAAATTTATTTATAATACTATATTATATTTTATTTAATATCACATAAAATTATAAATTTATAAGCTAGCTATGCATTGCCGAGACATAAACAGCTTTCCGCCGTATTTTAGGAGGAATAGGACTTGTATATATCCATGCAAGAAGTACAATCAAACCCTAAAACACAGTTAAAAAGGCAGAAGGTGCAATTCAGCCCCTGTACCTGCAATGTTGTGGCAATTCAGCCCCTGTACAAGAAACACTGGCAAATCAGCCCTTCTACTACATAAAATCCGCAAATCACCCCTTCTGTTAAGGATGACGTTAGAAAACGTCATTTTTCCGTTTCATTTTTCTGGCCCGTTAACAAAAGACGACGATTGGACAATGACATGGCATTGATTAAAAAAAAAAACCACCTGACTTGGGAAAAAAAATAATTTTGAGATTTTTCTTTTTTACTCTTATGTATTTAAATATAGAGATTTTTTAACATGTGTCTTTAAGGTACAAATTAAGCCTTATTTATTATAGTATTTGTAATTAATTTTACACAAAATTTTATAAATATTCAAATAAAATATAATATAATATATAAAAATATAATATAATATTTTATCTTAAAATCTCTAAAAAATAATGAATCTGATATGAAAATTTATATAAAATTAATTTAAAAAATCTTAATTAATGAGAAAGGCATGACAACGTAAATTTTTCTTTTGCTTTTTTTATTTTTTATTTTATATATGTAAGGGTTTAAACACAAGTTAGACAAATTCTTAAATATATAAAACAAAAAAAGAAAAATTTGCATTCTTGTGCCCTTCTCATTAATTAAGGTATCTTTAATTAATTTTACATAAATTTTCATATCAGATACATTACTTTTTACAAATTTTAAGATAAAATATTATATTATATTATATTTTTATATATTATATTTTATTTTATTTGAATATTTATATAAATTTTGTGTAAAATTAATTAAAAATACTATAATAAATGAAGTTAAGGATACAAGTTAAAAAATCCTTATGCTTAAATATTTAAGAGTGAAAAAAAAAATCACGAAAATATTTTTTTCCTAAGTTAGGTGGTATTTTTTAAGTCAGTGCCATGTCATTGGCCAATCATCATCTTTTGTTAACAGGCCACAAAAATTAAACGGAAAGATGACATTTTCTAACGTCATCCTTAACATAAGGAGTGATTTGTGGATTTCATGTAGTAGAAGGGCTGATTTGCCAGTGTTTCTGGTATAGGGGCTGGTCTGCCACGACATTACAGGTACAGGGGCTGAATTGCACCTTCTGCCCAGTTAAAAATGGAATTGGCAGCTGGCAATGATGGAGAAGGTGAGTAGGCTCATAATTCACATAACTTTGCCACATACATACAACTTTACTGCAACAAAATGTCTTGGGCCTGGGCTGGTCTGTAACTCGAGCCTATCAAGTGTTGAATCAAGGTAAAAACCCTTCTTAAGCCCCCAAATTTACTCCA